CCTCCCACTTTTGTCTCTGTCAGTTTTCTTTATCTGTCTTTCCCTTGGAAGGGAAGCTAAGGGGAGGTAAGAGGGGCAAACAAAAGAGGAGGGTCTTTGCAAGGCTGCAGTCTTTGGAATTGCGGGTGATAAATCCACTTAGTCTCTTTAATATTCTTTCAGAAATTCACACACACACTCACACACAAATCAGAACAAGGTGGGGACTGCCGAGGGGAGCGGGGAGCGGGCTGGCTCCTCCCGACGCTGGGAGGTCCGTACGCTGGGTTACCTTCTGCCCAGCTGCCCACTGGTTGGTACAGGTGGAAGGGAATATTTACAGAGAATGGGGGCTTTCGTCATCCCAGGGTGAAAGGTCCTAAACTGGGAACCTCCCAAATCTCATTCCAAAAATACCAAAAGTAGAGGTTCTGGGATTAGCAAGAAAATAGGAAGAGACCGGGGTGGAGGAGACAAAACTGTACTACGAAAAGATGAGAGAGCGTGGGGGCGTGGCTACCCCGGGGCTAGGTCCCTGCGCCAAGAGAAGGGGAGGAGTCTGTCAGTGTCGGGAGAGGCCTACGGCCACAACCCAATCACTGGACTGAATCACCCCGCGGGGACAAAAAGAAGGCGGAGCCTGCCGACCTGGAGGCGGGGTTTTGTCGGAGCCGGGGAGGAGCCTAAAGAGGAGGCGGGGCATTGGGGACCAGTCTCCGGCTGGGGAGCGGAGACCGAAGGAGCTCGGCTGGGGGCGCTGCATTTAGAGGCGGCGGGGGACTGGAGTGACTGAGGGCCGGGCATTTGGCGGGGATCCTGGGAAGTGGTATTTCTGGGGGTGGGGGTGTTTTCGGGGTTCCTGAGGAACTGGATTCGGAGCGTGCCCGCAAGGCGAGAAGTTCCGTGGAGGCCGAGTTTAGGATGTATCGAAATTCGGTGGCCCCAGAGGCAGGTGTGCGGGGCACCCACTGGATCCGCGGCGTGGCTGCAGAACGCGCTTGGGAGGTTGAGGGGCGCGGGGTGGGGCCGGGCCGGGCGAGTCGTTACGGGTCCCAGTAGTTCTCGTGGTGCTGCGCGGCAATGATGATGACTACGGTGAGGATAGTACAGAGCACCATGGCTGCAATACCCACCGCCAGGGAGATGAAGGAGAAGTTCCGGGCCTCGCGTGAAGCGATCTCGGCAGACACCATGTCTCCGCGGGCCAAGGCCGTGCGCACCTGCGGGGTAAGGGCGGAAGCAAGAGGATCAGAGCTGCTGCGCCCTCTGAGATGCTCCCCCCCGAACATCCAGCACTCCCTTAGAACAGGAAAAACCGAGTGAGGCCGCCCTTCCCAGACGCCGCCCTCGAGTCCCCTTTGCACCTGCACGGCCTTGAAGATGGCGATGATGCCCGTCGGCCAGAAGCAGCAGATGGTGGTCAGCACCGCGATGGGCATGTAGTCGTGCGGCGGGCGCCTCGGCTCCAGCAGGGCCAACCCTGGGCCCTGGGGCGGCGGGGGGAGCGTGGAGGTTACTCCTGTTCCCCCCGGGGTCCCGCCTGTATAGGGCTGTGCAGGGAGAGGACAGAACGTCATTCCCATCCTCTCTGAGCCCACCAACATTCTGCGTCTGGCAGAGTGGTTTTTAAGGCACCATTCTTGCACTTTGCTTCTCAAAGGAACTTATCCACTACCCTTCCAGGACACCCATGAATTCCGCGTAGGTCCCTCTCTTCTCTTGGTTGCTGTCATTACCCTCTATTCTTAGCGGTCTCCACACTCCCTCCCCGGAAGGTATGGCCCCCATCAGTGCGGCCCTAGCTCACTTCAGGCCTTGTTCCTTCTCCCCAAGTATCTGCCTTCCCTACCCAGTCAGTTCCAGGTTTCTTCTCCTTTCTCCTCCTTGGTCCCCAGATTTCATTTCTTCTCCCCCTCAGTCTTTTCCTTCTTTCAAACGTCCTCTGGACTTCTGTGCTCCGTTCCCCTTCTCAGACCCTGATCTCTGACCCCAACTGACCGCCAGATCCTCGCCCCCACCCCACCACACACACATTCCCAAGCCTTTCCTCAGTCCCTCCTCTCCCTAGGCCTTGTCCGAGGAACCTGCCCGGTCCCGTGGCCCTGTTTCTCTATCCCACCAGCCCCCAGTGTGTCCCCAGCCCTTCCTCCCGGGCCCCTGTCCACCCTGTACTCACCGTGCCCACCGGGTAGACCGGCACGTAGGCAGTGCAAGGCTGCAGCTGTAAGGGGTAGCCGGGGGCTACGTAGCCCCCCAGTGGCAGCGTGCCTACCGCCCCCGTGTGCGTGGGCACCACGAAGCCCGGAGCCTGGGCAGTATGAGAGGGCGCCGGCGGGGGCGGCGCGGCGGCGGCTGGCGGCGGCGGGGGCAGTGGGCCCTCGAAGCGAGTCTCCTGCAGGTAAGGGTCGGGTGGCATGCGGGGCAAGGTAGCGCAGCCGGGTGGGGGCGCCCCGGCGGCCGGGCCGGGCGGGGCGTGGTGTGGTGGCCGCGGCAGAGTGGCGGAAGACGAGGGACCGCGCTGAGCAGTGGCCGCGGAAGAAGCCAGGCCGCCTGCCCCTAAGCGCGGGAGGGTGGCGGTCCCGGACTGGTGGTAGTGGTGGTGGTGGTGGTGGTGAGAGGAAGGGGCTGCCTGTGGGGGAGGGGCGGGGGGTTCGGCCGGGGGCTGGGGGGCATTATACGGTGGTGGAGAGGTGTGGGGGACTGAGTCTGAGAGGCCTGGGGGTGGTGAGCGGAGGAGAGGGTATGGGGACAGAGACAAGACAGGCAGAGAAGAGATAAGGAAGGGAGTAAGGGGGAGACACAGAGGGCCAGGGATGGAGAAAGAAAATGGGAGAGACAGAGGAGACGGGTGAGAAGCCATCTCTTGGTCTTGGGGCAGGAAAGGGGTTGTATCTAGGCCATCTGTGCCCCCCCTTCTTTTTTTCAATCTAGTTTTGAGGTTGCAACTCTCCTCCACTCTTCTCCATCTACAGCAATGTGCCCATACCTAGCTTTCACCAGCCACCCAAGCTACGGCTGCCTTGGGCTTGCCCATCCGAGCTAGTCCTGTGTGTGCACATGTGTAGACATGCAACACTGTGTTAACATGTGCTCAACTCAACAGTTGTATAAACACATGTGGGATGACATATTCCACTCTACCTTCTTGTCCTGGGGCGCGGTGCCCTAGCCTCTCTGGGAATCCCAGTTCCTCTTTTGGGGCAGATAAAGAAGGGTCTTCTGGATTTTACTCCCCTGACAACCTCCATCTGATCATATCTTTATATATCTCCACTGGATGTCTCCATGCAAGCCAGTGTCATCTGTCCATCTGTCACTCCCAATGGTGCTATCCCTGCAGTACCTGGCTGATGCTAGGCCACTCTGTACTTCCCTCACCCTTTCAACCTGTCCCCTTTCCGTGTTGCTGGCAAGGGGACGAGGCTGAGATTGGAAGGAGGAAAGGAAGAGAAGGGAGGGATATAGAAAGAGAAGGGGGATGGGGGGTTGAGAACTGGACAGAAGGGGAATGAAACAGAATCATTCCCCCCCCTCCCAGGGGTAAGGGAGGGAGGGGGTTGGGGCCAAGGATGGGGGGAAGAGTCTGGAGACGGTGGAAAGGGCAGGTTTTGTTGTTGGTTTTTTACCTGACTTTTCCGATGACATGCCTGTGGTCTCGCTGGGACAGGGTCCCTGTAGCAGGAGTCGGGGTCCCTGGCTGGTGTCGGAGTCTCGGTGTGCAGATTGCGCAGCCGGCAGCAGCACAGAGATGGAGAGATGAAGACAGCGGCGGGGGGCGGAGGGAGAGCAGGGAGGGGGGGGAGCTTAAAGGGACCGAGGAGAGGGAGGGGGAGAGTTTCCGAGGTACCCTCACTCCGTCTCTCCTCCTCTCACCCCGGCATTCAAGCCCCCAGTTTGGGCTCCCTTGGAGTTGTCATGGAAACAGGGAGGCAAGCAAGACCAGGCAGGGTGGGTGGGACCAAGGGAGGGAAGGAGGGAGGGAGAATTCTCTAGAGTTTTCCCCTCTAAGACTGGCTGTAGTGATTATATCGTGGGAGGAAGTGAGCAGGTGTTCAGTGGATTCAGTACCCCAGTCCCCACCGGATCTGGTTCACCCTAGTCAGGGGCCCCCCTCCTCAGCTTCCCTCAGAGTCCCTGCAAGTTCTCAGGATCTTCTTCCAAATCCTTAGCTCTACTTTCCCCCACGTTAGGAAAGATAACTGTGTATGAGGAAGAACTGCAGAGCTGAGACCTGTGATGGGCTTGAAGAGTTCCCAGGGTCATGGCCTGGGGTGAACTGCAGGTAAAGTGGGGGGCTTGGGTCTATAGTGGTTCAGCGGGAGTTGGGCTTGTGGCTGGGGGAGTGGGGGTGGGAGGACAGAGAGGAAGCTTGGGGGATGCAGAGATACCTTTTCCTCCAGGGTGAAGGAGCTGAGCACTTTGGGAGAAGGAGGGGATGGATCAGCTCATTTCTGGCAACTCTGTTTTGGGAATATGTGCTTGGTCTCCCTTTCCCCCTTTGATAATTGGTCTTCTTAGAGTTCCTGGGCGCGTCAGTGTTCAGATCTATTTTTTAAAATCCAACCCACCCACCCACCACCCCTGCCAAGACGCGAGGCCACCTCCTGAATCGACAGGAGTGTGTGGTAGTGGTGGTGGGGTGGGGGGGAAGGTCGGAGCACAGCTGTAATTCCGGTCCTTTATTTGTTCGTCGTATCTTGGGAGCGCTTATATAGGGAGGGAAGGTGAAGGTAGGCAGTCTACTGAGACTTACAGGAGTTGGGCTTTTTGCAAAAACACAGTCCCCGGCCTCCAGCTTCAGATTAGTACTCCCCATCCCCCGCCTGAGGCAGTCGCCCTCCCGGGCTGTGTCCTTCCCCTCCGCGTCCAAGCGGAGCCTACAGAGCTGAGGCCCTCGCCTGGACCAGTCCCAGGCTCCAGACATTTAGGTCACGGCCCCAAACTGGTCGTTCTCGTTTCCAAGGCGTTCGGGTGCGCTCCTGACCCCCTACCGCCACCCCACCCTCACATCACACATCCCGGGGCACAAATCGGTTTTATTGAGACTTTAGACCTGCAAAGACCTTGTGAATAGAGGGAGGGATTCAGACAAGCTTCGAAATCCTTTTTCCTCAAGGGAAGCGCCTTTAAATGCTAAGTAAAAGCCCACCCAGGTTATCGGGGAGGGGTCACAGGCGGAGGTGCCGGGCGCCTGGAGCTCGGAGTCTGGATGCGGTGCGAGGGTCTGCGTCGGAAGCCGCCCACGGGAGCTCCCAGCTAAGGGCAGATTGTGGGGGTCCCTCAAGTTGAAAGACGGGTGGAAACCACGCGAGCGTGAGTCAGCGCTGCCCCGGGGGCCCTCCGCCCCTTGGAGGTGGGTCGTATACCGGGCGCGGAGTAGAGTAGGCCAGGAGAAACTGGGCCAGGCTGCACTTTTAGCTCGAGGGGCCTCGAGGACTCTTCGCGTCCCTGGACACAAGGGCACTACACGCACTTCATAATGAAGAGTTGTAAGACGCTGACCTGGGGCCGGCCGGCGGGCGGGTAGGGGTGGGGTGGGGTCCGCCTGGGCTGGCTTCAGCCCTGATCCGGCGTAGGACGAAATGCGGAGGGCTGCTTTTCCCCGGTCTATTCCCCAGCGCCCTCCCCCCACCCCTCACCCTGGGGGAAAGAGAACTTCATGTTCCGCAGCGGAGCTGGACGCCTGAATTGGGAATTGGGGCGAATCACGGCCAGGAAATCGGACCCTCGGGTCGCTGGTGCAGCAAGGCCTGGACTGGCCTCTCGATTCCCAGGATATGTTTGCCGCTTCTTCCTCTCCCCGCGGGCCTAAATGGATCGCTCTGCCTGTTTCCTCCCCCGCTCCCGGAAGGCAGTGGAATGTTCCATTGCCCCTCCGGTCCGGGCCTGCGTTACAGGGGACGCGGGCACGGTTGCCAGGGAAAGCCCCGGACGTGACGGCGAAGCGCGACCCCTAGCAGCCTCCCCTCTCCCATCCGTCATTCCCCTGCGCGCGCTCTCCTTACACCCTTCCCCTCCCCCCCGCGGGTTCCAGTCTAGGGAGAAGTAACTAGCAGGCGGAGCCAGGCTCACGGACCTAGGCCAGGTGGGAGCTTGCATTCTCCAGGAGCCTGCGCTGCTGCTCAGGGGTCTTTTCTTGCAAAACCCAGGGTCGTGCATGGCTGGGATGATGCATTAGGAAGATCCTGGGCCTAGGGACTGAGTCCCCGCTGAGTTGGGGGCGGGGTTTCGGGTGCGTGTCGGTGCGTCGACGTGTAGGGGGGTGTGTTTCTCTGCAGCCCTGAAGTAAGTTCAAAGCGGGCTATTTTGTGACCTGGACCTAGTGTGAGCACGGGCGGGAGGTGTTGAATGCCGGGCGTCTGCTCCGAGGGGAGAGCGTGTTGCCATCTGTCTCACAGGCCCTCATCGCCCCCTTCTCAGGCGGGAGCATGCTGGGCCTCAGGGGGCTGCGGCTCCCCCCGGCGGGGATCCTGCTCCTGTTGCCGTTCCTGCAGCCGCGGCTGCTGCCCGCGGCCCCCGCGCCCCATCGCGCTTCCTACAAACCGGTCATCGTGGTGCACGGGCTCTTTGACAGCTCATACAGCTTCCGCCACCTGCTGGAATACATCAACGAGGTCTGGCAGGGGAAACCCGGTTGTGGGGCGTTGGAGGCGTCTGTAGTGACGGGGGGAAGGAGAATGGGGAACTGAAAGCTGCCCTTCTGGGCCTGCTCTGTTCCTCGAGGAGCTGGTGCCGGCGTTGGGAGAGTCGAGGGATGAGTTCCCGGGTTCTAGCAGGGCGCAGTAGGCATGTGGACGCTGGCCGGGGGGCGGTGTGGAGGGGATTCATAGTCCATCCCCTGTTGCAGCATTGCCCCCTTCCCACAGACACACCCTGGGACTGTGGTGACAGTGCTCGATCTCTTCGATGGGAGAGAGAGCTTGCGACCCTTGTGGGAACAGGTGCAAGGGTTCGGAGAGGCTGTGGCCCCCATCATGGCAAAGGCCCCCGAAGGGGTGCATCTCATCTGCTACTCGCAGGGTAGGCGCCCTCCCCTTCCCAACTTCTAAGCCCTATCTGAGGCTTGATCCTTATCTGAGGGACACTTCCTAGTGTCCCCTTTTCTGAACCCCGATGTTCCAGCCAGAGCCCTAGTACCTGAGACCTACTTTTCTGACTTCCTCAGCACCTGGGTCTTATCTCTCTGTGTCCCCAGTGGGAGGGAGGCTTTCCCAACTGCTGCTCCCTTTTGCCATTACCCATGGTTCTTGGACATAAGGGATAATGGGACAGTAAAAAGCACCCTACAGTTATAGAGTCAGAGGACCCAGAATCTAATTCCGGCTCTGTCACTTAGATGACATGTAACCTTTTGCCACAGAGTGTGCCTGCTTTCTCTGGGCCTCAGTCTCCTTAGGGACTTGTGGTGGTGGGGGGCTGAGTGGGGAGGCAGTTGGCCTAGCTGTCCCTAAGTCTCAGCCTAATGTGGCATTCTGTTTCCAGGGGGCCTGGTGTGCCGGGCACTGCTCTCCGTCATGGATGAGCACAATGTGGATTCTTTCATCTCTCTCTCCTCTCCACAAATGGGACAGTATGGAGGTGAGTGGGGATGGTGGGCTCTATAGGGGGCCCCGAGGTTTGGGGACACAGAGGTTTGGGGCCACTGGACACTGCTGTTCTCTTGCCAGATACGGACTATTTGAAGTGGCTCTTCCCTACCTCCATGAGGTCTAACCTCTACCGGATCTGCTATAGCCCCTGGGGCCAGGAATTCTCCATCTGCAACTACTGGCACGGTGAATAGGGGATGCCAAACTGGGTTCTGCATGGAGGGGGCACCCTAGGGGTGGGGCCTGCTGCTTTCCTGTACCATAACCAACAGCGGTGATGCTGAAAATAACTTACATGTATTGAGCACGTACTATATGAATAGGGACTGTTCAGAACACTTTATGCGTATTACCTTATTGCTTCAGAGTGTAGTCTGGGGCAGGGGTCAGCAAACTTTTTCTTTAAAGGGCCAGATAGTAGATATTTGGTTGTGACTGTTTTCCTTACCTGTAAAATAATAATATAGTATCTACCCTATAGGGGGTTGCAAAGATTAAATACATTAACGAACATAATGTACTTTGAACAGTACGTGGCATCATAGGTGCTGGGTAAAGGTGTTTGCTCTAGTGTTTACGATTATTATTGTTGTTACTGTTACATTAGTATTCACCTTGTCTATTATTGTAGTCCCCTGATTGGCCTTCCAGCCTCTGGTCTTGCCTCTTT